TTATGAAGAATAAAACACTATATATTGAGTTTATAATAATAATAATAATAATAATAATAATAATAATAATAATAATAATAATAATAATAATAATAATAATAATAATACCCGAAAAATGTAGTTTGCAATCGTTACTCACGCGGCTTTGATAATTCATGCGGGTGTTGTCCCACGAGATCAACCAATCACGGTTGTTCCCAGAATTGTCTTTGCCTCTATAGACGAGGCCCCCCTTAGCAGGCCGATTAGGCGGTTGCGGACAAAGAGGAACCCAAACCACTGCCCATTTTGGACGACCTGAGGGAAGGAAGTCCGCCAGGGGCTCCCTTCCCATGATTGGGTGCGCATGAGGGAAATGTTGCCACCGGTCGCTTGTACACCATGCCCGGCGTGGAGGTCCTGGTGCCCCAATCGGCCTTGAGGTTGTGCACGAACCTATATATGTCTGAAAAATTAATTAGAGATAGCCCTTTCGATTTTAATCATATGAGGGAATGAAAATTGGATAAATTAAGCGGGTAAAGTGAAAATGTGCACCTTGTACCCTGTGTCAGTTTTTTACATTGTACATCTTATTACAAGATTTTGCGGATGGTTGTATGGTCAAGATGCAAGAGAGGTTGCAACAAGTTATGAAATGTTGATGAAGTTCAGATTGCATTTTATTACAAAAACTATATATTTTTTTTTTTTGTGTTAATGCAAATGTCAAATACCGACATAGTACAAGTTGTGCAAATTTCTCTTTTCCCTAGCCTTTCATCACGAGATTTAAATGTCTCGGTTTGCGAACGAACGTGGTCACGTTGGTAGCTTTCTCCCCGGCGTTTATGTGCAGCAAGGCTGCTTCTGCCCGGTGCAAGTTAGTGATTGGATTGGCGTTGGGGAAGAGCATCTCCACTACTTCTTCGGTTATCGCCTGTCCGAACACGTTGGATGCCATAGCTTGCTTGGTTTAGTTTTTTTGTTTTTTTGTTTTTTTTTTAAGTATCTTTGAAGGGTGTGGTGATGCAAGTGTTGCTAACACGGTAATGTATTTATAGCTGCTAAAATGAAGGACCACTCACCACAATTAATAGCAATAGAAAAAAACATCGTAGTTCTTATATTCACTTTGGTTCTTTTTAAGTTCTAATTTCATTTGTTCATCTTGTTCTTGTGCCAGTATGATCTTTGTTCGAAAAAAATACTCGTTAAGATGTTAGTGAATTGAACCTCTCTTTGAAGTTTGACCCATTTGTTAAATCTTATTTTTGTTTAATTTTTTATTTTGCTTTTCTGATTTACTAGTGTGTATCCCGTGCGATGCACGAATAAACAATATGACTTTCATATAATGAAAAATTGTATTATCACACGTACATGATAAATCTACATCTTAACTTCATACATTGTGTTTTCTAATGGAATAACATCCTTCATTTTAGAGATCATATGTATTTAATATGTTCATATTTACATATCGGTAATTTAAAATTTGAGTTTGAAGATAACCCGAATCTGTGATTAGAAAATATCGTTTAATAATTAAATCAACCTGAATCTATCTAAATCTTGTATACACCACGTCTTACAATTAAAGCAATGTAACATGGATATTAAGATATTCTGAATCTCTAATTTAAACAAAGACCGTAAAAAATTGATTTGGTATTTTTAATATAAAAAAAAAAATCATTAATGTAGGGGATGATATGTGATAAATCTATCTAAATATTGGATACATCACGTTTTACAATTAAAGCAATTTAATATGAAGATTAATCTTATTTCAAATCTCTGATTTAAACAATGACCATAAAATTTTTGATTGTTTCAAAATTGAAATCGTGTATTATTTTTCATTATAAATAATTGTCAAACAAAATAATTGAATCAACCGCAACTTTATTTTTTTAATTAAAACTGTTCAATTTGATTGTTAAAAAAAATGTTTTCAAAAGAAATAAATAAATGATTTTTTAAAAATATTTTACCCTTAAATCAGCCGTAATTTGTTTTGTTAAATAAAACCTGCTAATCAAAACATATGTATTAGGCTATGCCGATTATATTGAAAAAAAATCGATATTTTTAAAATAAAAAAGTATATTTTTTATGGTTAGAAAAAATAGCACATAATTTTTTTTATTATTAAATCAGTTGCAACTTTTTTATTATAAAAAAGATGCCAAAAACAATTGTATTAGGCGAATATCTGGTTTTAAATTTGGAGAATATAATTGTCCGATGTTTAATTGAATTAGCAGTCGTGACGTACATTTATATTCAAATTTAAAATAGTTTTTTGTAACCAATAACCAAATTTAATTGATGCAATCCGTGCATTATCAGCTTTTGATATGCACGTCATGTCAAACCATCACAAATATTCAATAGACTAAATTTAAATTAACTTTTTTGAAAATAAAAAGTACTAACAAACTCCTCATTTTAATGACAACATTTAAAAAAAATATTAAAAAGTTACTATAAATAACATGTAATTGATGATGACCAGTTTTGACCAAGATTGACTTTACTATTCTTAATAAATGATAATTCATTTTATATAGATATAGATTTTTGTGTATATATCTTTTTTTATTAGTTGTTTTATATTTAGTATAATATTATTGTGATAAAAAGTTTTCTTATCTTATTAGGTATCATATTAGGAAAAAGAAATTAAAAAGAGCCTTGGACGAACAGAAAACGGGAGCAGCAATTATATTAGGCTGAGTGCATATGCGTGGGATTGAAAAGAATTGAAGCAGCATCCATATTCTTGAAGATTAAGTAGCATCAATAAAATATTATACATATATATATAATATATGTCATAATATATATATAATATATATATATTTGTCATAAAATATATAATTTAGTGACGTCAATAAATGTTGGCATAAATAGCACGGGAGAATCTAGCTCATAATAGGAGTGGGGGCCTACTATTTCTAGAAAACAAATATAATACATCATAAAAAAGTATAATAGAAAATAGATATTCGTAGAAATTCTTATGATTTTTCCATAGCTTGGTATGCCTCTACAATAAGGTTTTTATATTTTATTTCGATCTAACAATATTATAATTCACTTCAGGTATATTTGGAATAAAAGTAGCTAGCTTTAAAATTATTTCACATGCATTTTTTTGTCAAGACTATTTATAAAAATATTTCTCCATAATTGGATGTAGAAAATAAATAATAATGTATAAAATATTTTATCTAATATATCAATTTTTTAAGAGCACTACAAGTTATCAGTCACACACAAATTATATATATTAACAGTCTTTTATGAAACAACACTCAATTAACTACTCGTTTAAATTTTTAATATTTATATCAAATCAATAAAAAAGTGACTAGATTTAATTTCATCAAAATAAACAAGAACAGTGTGTTCTTTTTTTTTTTTTTTTTTTTTT